TGAAACATTACAATAGAAACATGTTACAATATTTTCAGCACCGGTATAAAAAAAGCCAGCTCGAACTAGTTCATCTACTGATGGTGAGGATTTATGAGACCATGTTGCAAATGATTGTAGACGTTTTGTAATATCACTGTATGCAGGATTATACGGCGTTGTATTAACAATTTGATCAAATTGAAGTTGTGCAGCATTAGTTGAACCAAAAATTTGATTATTTCGATTATTTGTTGATATTTCATTTAATATCACAGGAGAAGATCGCTCCGGTTGTATTAATATTGATAAAACATATGGACACTTAGGTGAAAGAGCTTTATGAACTTCAGATGGATCATCCGTATCTGCTTTCCACTGTTGACAAATCAAATTACAATATAAACAAATAACACGATCACCAACATTGCATGAAAAAAAAACCAGCATCGATCATTTGTTCAGCAGATGGTTTTATTGGATGAGACCAATGAGAAAATGTTCGACGTCGTATTTGCTTGAGTTTATTCACTTCCCACAATTCACAATTATATTTACATTGATCTGAATTTAATTCTATTTTTTGACATTTTCTAGGATTTTCTTGATCATTTGACTCCATGCAAGGGTTTACTAGTGCAGAACAAACAAATGGACAACTAGGATTACGATCAGCATGCACAACCTTTGGTACCATACCTTGAGTCCATCCAGATACATCTAATTGACATTTTTCACACCGAACGGTATCACCGACACCAGTATAGCTGAACCCAGCCATGAACATGTCTTCAGTTGAATATATACCTCGAACATGTAGTCGCGCATGTATTTTCTTCACCCGCTTACTTATATCTTGTTTCAAGTAAACAAATCGTCCGTTCGAGTTTGCACACGATGAGAAGTTTAATGAATGATCCATTGCAGTTACCATGTTCAAATGTTGAAATATATTCGTTGGCTTATTAATTAGATAGGTTTTCTGTCGAATGTTTTGTATTCTACAATTAGCCCTTATATATTTATGTATTTCTAGTTTTTTTCTCAAATATGAAATATCATTACAATCTGAGTCATGCTACTGGCGTTAAAAAGGATTTTTCCTCTGTTGCAAGTAGATTTGGTTTTTACATGTTTTCGCCTTGTTCTTATTCTTCGTGATGATATCTTTTTTTTCACATAATAGCGACGTCTTTTTTCCTTTCTCCTCGTGTACGAGTTAGAAATTATATCTCGTTCTGCTATTCACTATTTCTTGTTACTCTGTGTGTTTTTCTTTCCTATTCTTCATTTGTGAAATTCTATCATTTTGTCGCCATTCGACATAGAGTTATTCAGTTTTTAAAACAATAAAACACTTTATAAGAACAAACAATGAGTGAAACTTGATTCCCAATTATGGAAAAATTGTAACACAGCCGCAAAAAATTCTGTAGATTGACTAATTCTCTCTTTTTTCGAGATATGTCCCATTGCTTACGTTGAAGGAACTGTAATAGTGTATTAATAATTGCTGATAGCAAAAAATCAACAGAAGAAGGAAAAAGCATGGAAAGATAAATAACACACTATCGGCGACAAAATGATTGCAAATCGTATTTTTAATTTAACTTTTGATAGAAGCAAGATAGAGAGCTACGGTTTCACTATTAGAAAGAGGAGATTAAGACGCATTGAACCATATGTTGCAGACTTTTTGACTTGGTTTTTCTAAGGTTTTCAATTGAGCTTTTTGTGAAAAAACGGTCTGGATAGGTGAATTCAAAGAATTTTCAAGTATTTGATATGTATTGAAAGCATCGAAACTAATTAGAAGCCGGCTTTTCTAGCAATTCCTGTGTTGAAAAATAGCATTTCTTTCTTCTTGATAAAAACTATTTTTCCAATACAATTTGTTCGGAATATCGATTTTGAAAGTCAGAAAACACATTTAGAAAAGCCTGTAATATATTTCCATGCGTCTTTATCTCCTCTTTCCAATGGCGAAAAGCCCAACTCTCTAGCTTGTTTCTATAAAAAGTTACATCAAAAATGCGATTCGCAGCCATTTTATCGTTGGTAGATATGTAATCTTACGAACAAGAAGAGAAATTCTATTGGCTTTATTTGAAAATTGATAAACATTACAACGCTCAAATCAAGTACTTCGGCAACTTGTCACGCATATTTTTCATCAGAACCAATTGAAAAACTTTCTTTATCGATGAAATCTTGAAAGCAGAATTGTGATAATTGTATTTCGTGACAAGCTCTTTCCAATTATGGTTGACACCGAAACAGTACCGTCATCGAGTCTGCATATTATGTTTCTTCTTGCAACCTTTTATCACTCTCGATAATTTTATGGTCAGATATGGCGGTAAATCATTTATCTGACAGCTATTCTCGTGAGTTCGGGCTAGAGATTTGGACTCACTGTTCACTGTTACCATTTTCAGCTAATTAATAACAGGAAATCGAAGTAAGCCGAAAGAAAGAATCTTAGGCTTAGCTAGAGTAGATTCACATGGCTGAATAAATGATTCGAAAAATGAAGGTCGGTAGGCATATTTTTAAAAAACTGTTAGCACAATCTCTGTGGAATTAAAATGTGAAACACGAGGGAGCTGTTGTTCCTAATCATCAGAAGATTATTCTATATATTTGTCAGCAAATCATCTCATATACAGATGTAAGCCGTACCGCTGAGCCGTTGCCGCCACAGAACCGTAGATCATTTTAAAATGTTTTTAGAAACCGCCGCTAGGAAAACGCATGTTCAGCCGCTTCACCGCTGCCACGAACGAAAATTTTTGATAACAGTATAAGGCGCCATCGCCGTTGACATCCATACACATGCGAGCGATCATTTTTTTTCGTCTTTTAAGACCAAATACTTTGTTGTTTCTATTGTCAAAGCCTCCGCTAGTGCAGAAAAACATAAATTATAGCAGCCATCGTCGATGTTTGACCCTTTGGCTTACACTTCTAACTTCATCACTTTTTTAGTTTATCTTTCAGCAATAAAATAAAGAAATAGCTCATATATGGTACCAAAATATTATTGAAATATGGTCTTTAATCATATATCATTAGAATGTATCAAAATCTGTAACATTGTGGGAAGTGTATTGCTAAGATGTCTATTACGACCTCTGGCGGAGAGAGGGGGATATTGCTATGGTGCCTATCACAACGTATGATGCTTGAAGTATTGCTACTGTATTTGTTATGGTTTCTAATGTGACACGTACGTTGCTAGGGAATCTCTCAGGGTCAGTGATCTTTCTATAGCTATGTCTGCCATGGTCTGTTGGGAAGGGTGCGGGTGTCAGTTTCTACCCCATATATTCCAACACTTCTTTAAGACCACTTTTCAGAACAGTTAATAGTGTGCCAAAATGCTCGAAACCAAACGTAATCGAACCTTAGGATGCTTCCATCGCTACTCATGTACTTCATGAAACAATTGGCAACGTTCTTCCCAAACATTAAGTCAGCTTGCAGGGTCATGATATGTTTACTCCTACGAATCTGTAGCTACAATTGTAATCTAGAAAACTAACAATTTGGGCAGTCATTCGAAATAAACACGACAGTACTTTTGTATATACAAAACATCGGAAAATCAAAATGAAATTGAACGATATTAAATTAGCTTTGCTGTATTCATGAAGTTATTATGCAGTAAATAAAATGTTCGTCATATTAGAACAAAAATTCGTATACGAATGTATTGTGTGCTTCATCAATATTGCATACAAAAAGTGAAGTAACAAAACAAAGTCGACATGAATGTCTGTTTCACAGATCAATCCTGAACTTTCAATCAGGCTCCACTATTCGTTACACAGAATACTGAAGCCTAATGTACTTACCATCAGCTGTTGACAGTTGGAAAAACTAGTCTATCTGCCTATTTATGTTATTTATGTCTGCATTTTTTACTAGGATTGTACTTGCGCAATAAATGCATCATAGCCGTCACTTGGAAGAAACCAACATTTTTCCACCTTTTCATTTCATGGTGAAAAAGGAACAAGAAGCATGCCAGATCATGTCTACGATGAGTAATCAATAAAAACACGACATTGTATACTTTTCTGCTTCCATAAAATTTTCCCAACAAAAGAAGAGGGCGTACTCTTGATGGCACCTACTTATGGCTCGGAGTATGCACTTTTTGTTTATCGACATTCACACACGCACCCACGTTCATCCACACCCGCACCTTCACCCCCACCCCCACCCACACCCACCCACACCCATACTGTGCTTTCTCATTTCCCGGTGAATTTTTCTTTGATCTTTTTAGAACGATTTTTTTCTTTCTGGCAAGAAAAAGAACAGTAACAAAGACGCCGTCAGTTCGATATTTTTAGTATGATTATAATGAGCACTCTGACGATGTGAATGAAATAAAGAGAAAAGTAAATTTAATTTTAATTGAAGCAACAGTCAAAACAACAACTTTTATCTTTGTCAAATATAATAAATATGATTAGCTGATGATTCAAACAGGAAAGAATGGTTCGTATCATGCTTAATTCTCGGTAATATTTACTGCATTCTTTGATTACTAGTGCGATTACGGAAAGTTCGATAAAGACTTTATTATAGATGTAGCAAGCAAATCAAGGTTTTATTTCATAATTTCATGTGAGTTTTTGCCGTGTCATATACTAAATAATTCTAATTTGGATTTGAGTCAATACTCAAAATAAAATTAAACTTTGTTTTGGTTCTGGGTGTCTGTGAACAAAAGTTCAGCTGTCATACTCACATCCGGACATCCTTCTAAATTCAAAAGTCAGAAAAAAAGCTTTTATTACGGTAACACATGTTGCATGTCTTCGCACAAAAATACCAGCTTGTTCCGAGTAATCAAAAATTGACTGTAATGTTGATTATATGATTCTTTTGGGCTTTTTCTGTAAATAAAATCATAGCAAACATAAGATCAACAAAAAAAGTACATTAACAACGAAGTGATTAATAAAACAGAAACAAAATTAACCAATTTTTATTATTATTGCCACCATTTTCTCTTTTTTAGTTCTTGTCTTTAGAGTTCATGGCAAAGTGAAAATGTCATGTGTAAACAAAGAAATGCTGCAAAAACGTTATACTGTATTTCTCTTCTTTTCTTTCGTTTTATGTGTTCGCATGTCGTCAAGCACCTTTTGCTGCTCTATCGACGAGCTTCAATCAATAAAAATACATTTACATAAATTCAATGCTTTTCATTACAATACATTGATTTCGTCTCCCCGTGCTTATAGATTCAAAAGAATTTGATTTTGCAAAAATCTATAAAGTGGGATTAACATTATGTTCAACGATTGACAAAATCGAATGAATGTTGAACAACTCATTTTCTAGAGCATTCATTTTCCTTTTTGGTTGATAAGAACATTAAAAAATTTCTCATAAAGTAATCGGAGTTGTTCTTCAAGAGTTTTTTTAGTTTGCATGGAAAATTGAATAAAAGGATGATATACAATAGGATGTGTATGTGTGTGGGTGTGAGTGTTTGTTGTTCATCTCTAGAATGATAAGTACATCCACACCCGCATCCTAGTCCAACCTTTCGATGAGAAGAATACAAAAGTCGATGTCCTCACAATTTTCCCTCTGGCAATGGAGATTTTCACAAACACGCAATACCGCACTTTCAAATATCATGTCCTAATGATTAAGGTAAATTAATGACTTCAGTTCTGTTTATTTCACTGGATTATATGTTGAACCTTAATTGCCGACAAGCATTCTTCTGTCTACTTCGCATTTATCAGTTTGATA